GGCAATAAAAGGAACAGATCTGATCAGGTGAAACCGGTCCTGGAAGCTCAGCACCAGGTTTTATAGCCGCCTGCGAGAGAGTTTTATATTGTGTGTGTGTGTGTGTGTGTGTGTGTGTGTGTGTGTGTGAAGCTGAATAACAGCAGCTGTTCTGTGTGACAGGGAGGAATATAAATAGATTGAGTTGTAAACAGGGGAAGTCCCTGCAGCTGACCTCAGACTGAGGAAGTGTTCCATGACCTGTCAGAGTTAATATCTGTGTTCAGTCTTTGATAACAGGCCTCCACACACTAATAATTTTAGCATTTATTGATTGTTTTCCAAAATAGATGTTTAGCTACTTTTATCTTAATGGTACTATTGTTTTAACTTTTGGTTTCAACAGTTTTTGTAATTGTAATATTTAAGCTTTGTTTTGCTAATTTAAGCTTTTAGCTACTGTTTTGATGGTTTTAGCTGCTGTCCTGCTAATTTTAACATTTAAATGCTGTTTTGCTAAATTTATCTTAGAGCCATTAAGTACTTTTATCTTTGTTACTTTCCCACAGTTTTAACTTGTAGCTTATGTCTTGCTGTTTTTTTTATTTTAACTGTCTTGTTAATTTAATCTTGTAGTTTTTGCTTAGCTATTCTTAGCTTTTAGCCACTGTTTTGCTGCATTAGTTTTTTGTTCAGCTAGTATTTTCTTTAGTTTTTGTGGTGGTAATTTTAGTTTTGTCAGTCTTGTATAAAGCACCTCAAAGTAAAACTTGAGAAAAGGTACAAAATTACTTTGGTAAAAGTTAAAGTCTTGTAAGACTCTAAGAGTAACTCTAAGAGAAGTACTTGAGTAAAAGTAAAAGTTTCTTAAAAGTAAAAGTCTCTAGATCATCTGGTCATCTGCTTCTGAAGGTCTCTAAGTCTCGTCTCAAACTGAGAGGTGACACATCCTTTTCTGTAGCAGGTCCAAACCTGTGGACTGATCTACCACTACATGTCAGACAGTCTCCTTCACTCGCTGTCTTCAAGTGTCATTTAAAAACACACTACTACTGCTTTGCCTTTGAGTCTGAGTGAGAGATGGTGCAAACCCTCACTGTGTATCATAACTCTGTTATATGTGCGCTGTAACGCTCTGTATTTGAAATCTTCTGTAATTTCAACTGTCCTGTTGTGTCTGTCTATTTTACAGCACTCTGATTGGCCTTGTGCTGTTTAAAGTGCTTTATAAATAAAAGTGGTATGGTAAGTATTAAAATATCTGATATTTATTGAACTTAATTATCAACAGTAATTTTCTGATATTAAATGTACTTAAGTGAAGAAAAGGGGTGATGAGATTTGTGTCACAGGTTTTTATTGATGATACAAACCATCAGGGTGTCAGAACTGTATATTTATACTTCCTATTCACTTTATTCAGGAGGTGCAATTTATCTAGATAGGCTTTTATTATTATTATTATTATTATTATTATTATTATTATTATTATTATTATTATTATTAAATAACAAACCATAATGATCTAGGAGTAAGGACTTTCTACTCCCCTTTACAGAATTCAAAGAGCACAGATAATTGTATGAAAATGAGTAAATGTAAAAGTTTTGCTGTAAAATAATTACTCAAGTAAAGTACATATAACCAACATTTCTACTTAAGGAGGCTTCAGTAACAAATTATTTGTACTTAGTTATTTTACAACTCTGTTTTTTATTCTTATTTAACATCACTAATAGAGTTTTTTTCTTTTCCATCATCCAGTCAGTGTTTCCTCTAGTTTTAGGTAACCTGTCTGAACGGGTCTTCCTGCAGGTTTTATTTTGAAGGTCACGGGGACGTTGTGTTTCCGGTTTGTTCACGTTAGCTTGACGCTAACTGGAGCTGGGGCGTGTGTGGACCGAGCCCCGGTGCGGAGCTGACAGCTTGCCCCGCAGTGAAGCCCTGAGGAGCGGCTGATCCCGCTTTAAGGCGTGTTTTCATGTCAAACCATGACATCTGTGTGGAAACGGCTTCAACGAGCCGGAAAGAGAGCCTCCAAGTTCCAGTTCGTCGCCTCGTTTGAGGAGCTGGTCGTAGAAAGCACGAAGAAATGGTGAGTAAATAAACTCTTATTAAACACAAACAAACCTCTGAAGACTCTGTTGGCTGTAGCCTTTCAGAGGAGACATGCCGAACTCTCCCCGACACCCGGCGGTACTGGACGGGCTTATCCGAACTCTTCAGAAACAAGAGTTTGTCTATTGTTTTTACCAAGTCATTTTGTTATTTGTCACGTAAAGTAGGGAAATAAGAGCAGGAGATGAGCAATCAGAAGAGGGACAGTCAGGACAACTGAAGACAACTGAAGACAACTGAAGACAAGTGAAGACAAGTGAAGACAACTGAAGACACAAACACTTGTTGGCTCATGTTTCAGGCCTGAATTACATATAAATATATATAAACATGAATCTAAGCTTGTGTTGTCTGTAATTATCTTCAGTTGTCTCCACTTCTTGTATTCAGTTGTCTTCAGCTGTCCTCAGTTGTCTCCACTTGTCTTCAGTTGTCCTGATGTCTAAACGTGTTTATAGTTGTCTACATGCTGCTTTATGCTCAGCCACTTCCGCATTTATTGTCCTGAGCTCAGACAGATCAGCTGTTGGGCTGTGGCCTTGTTCATGTAAACACACACACACACACACACACACACACACACACACACACACACACACAC